GAAAACGCAGGGAACACATTGTTTGGTGCCAGAAGAAATCTTCAACCGTGGCAACCAAATTGCAGAGCGGTGGCGCGGCTGGTGATCCCATAGCGACCCCCCGTTCTTGGCGGAACAAGTATCCGTTGATCTCGAAGTGACTGTTGTCAATGACAAAGTCCAGAAGGTGCCGGAGATCTTGTTCATGAAAAGTTCGAGGGATCTTTGTTTGACGGCGCCATTTTCCTTTGAACATACGGCGTCGATGATCAGACTTTACTTCGAACACTGACCATTGAGAGGATCTGCGAAGGCCAACAACTTGATCGTACCGATGGAGAAGCACTTGTAGTGCCTGGTGGAAGCGTTCCGTAGGAATGGACGTGAAGAAGCCTGACAGGTCTTGTGACACCAGGTGGATGTATTCATTGGGATCTGCCTTTGACAGCGACTCCCACAGCTGCTGGACAAGTTCTTGTACTGAAAGTTGACCTGCAATGTCGGGAAAAGTAGCTTTGGTAAGTTCAAATAAGAGGGCGCCGAAGACCGTGAGGAAGGGAGCTGCCCACGTGCGAAAGAATGAAATGATGGGTCGTGCTTTCTGCCAGTCCTTGGTCGGCTTTGGAAGGATGCGAGCTGTGGGCAACGGTGCTTGAAGTCGAAGTCCCCATGCATATCGCTGACGTAGGAGGGAAGGTACCGTAGTTACCACTTCAGAGCGAAAAGATGCTGCGGATTCACGGCAAAGCGAAAAGACATCTCCCGAGCAGAAGGTCTTCCGCATCTGTATGGCAAACAGGGACGGACAAATCACATGTGCGCGGGAGGGGAAATGATCCGCGGGGATTACAACCCACGATGACAGAGAAGCCACGGTGCGCTGCAACGATGTCGATGACCAATAAGCACGATCTTGAAGGTTAGCTCGATGAGTGTCCATCAACTGAGTCAAATCCGGCTGCAGATCAACAAGAAGACTGGAACCATGCACATGCCAGCGACGAGCAAGTTTGCGAAGTTGCGTGGTGAAACGTTGATGTAACAAGTCGACATCACCGAAATACTGATCCTTCATTGATGCGGCCATGATGTCCATGTCAATGTCCGCATTGATGCGTGAGAACTCATCAACCATTACAGCATGTCCATGTGCTCGGTGTATATGGTGATCATCGATGTCCAAACAGCGACACGGAAAAGATGTTTCAGGAGTCCATCTGCGCTGCCATGTGCGGTAGTTGTAGATCTTGTCGCCCAACGTGGCACTGCGAGTTTCCACCACCCGGATCTTTGGTAGGAAAAGGGAGGGAAACAAATCACGATGAGAAGCAATCCAGCTTTGTAACCATGTGCCAAGTAGAGCTTTCCAATTCCGGACATGTAGAGGCGGTAGGAGTTGTTGTGTCAAAGTGGTGGGTGATTGTAGCTGTCGTTTGCGTAACACCTGGGCGAGGAGTTTCTGCGCCTTGGAGCGGAAGGGCTCGTTGACAAAGACGGAGAGCCGCAGAAAGTAGTAAAGCTGAGTAGGAGGGAAAGCTGCCGACAGAAGGTCACGCATGGCTTGGAACGATGCACCTGTATTGGATCCCAGCTGATAGAGAATAGAGTAATGGGCCTGAATGTCATCCAGCATGTCGGGACGTAGTTGCCGTTGGAGATCCGGATGTAGTCGTCGTCGAAAGCGTTTGTGCAAGCCGAGGGAAGTGGGAGACGACAACGAGTGACGTCGAAAATCAACGAGGTGTTCCCGGAAGCCCACCTTTCGCAGAAGTCTGTGTACCCAGGGTGCATTCAAATGCGGGCGTAGCAGGTATTGCCATTTGCTTTCCTGGACCCAAACCGAGGAAACGGGAAGTTTGATCTCAACCGGAACAGCACAGAAGAGCCAGCAAGTATTGGATCGCTTCCAGTAGTGAAGCGCGGGTTCGAAGAAGGCATGACGTCTTCGAAGTAGTTGTAGAAATTTGCGACTGCGTGAGTGTTCACGTCGTAGAACATCCTGATCAGTCGCACCAACGTAGTAAGGTATGTGCCATGGGGAAAGTCGGATGTAGACGCACGGTTGTTGATGATGACCTGGATCGTGAATGAAGTCATAGAGGTCCGGAAATCGTGCCCGCAATGAGCGAAGATGTCGCGTGTCGGCAAAAGTGGAGTGCATGATTTCACACAAGAGAGAAGCCTTGTAGAAGTGAAGGACTTCAAAGAACGGCGGAAAGTAGCCATGATCTTGGGATATGAGACGTTGTAAGAAACTGATCAATAAATAGGCAGTGCACCGACATCTATGAATCTCATACCTGTTGGCCACAGTGTGTTGAGAGTGTGACATAGCGTGATTCGGAATCTGAAGGGCAATCCGGACCACAACTAAGACTTCCAGAATGAGGCCCAACCACGGTAGTTGTGTGATTGATTCGTACTCATCAGCTGGTATCGACGGTGGTGGTAGTCCAGGGAAGCAGTATTGCCAGCACGTAGAGAACATGGTCAACGAGTGTAAAAAGTTGTCCAGAGACTGCCATTGTGCACCATCATCATAGATTCCACAGCGGCGAAGCTCATCCAACATGGTGAAAATGCAACCAATGAAATCTACCATAAGGCGGCGACATGGATACAAGCTGCACAGACAATCACGCACAAGGCAATGCAAGCACAACCAGGCACAAGATCAAACTGATGCAACGCAAAAAGATGACGGACGAGTTTTAACCTTGACACATCCGTGACACGGTTGCCGCTCCGGGCTCATAAGAGAACGAATGTCGTTAAGATGCCTGCTCATCAGCTGAGTAGGCGAGCGGTCACGATGAGGTGACTCAATGCCTTCTCAGTGAGCTTGGTGAGATAGCCGGGCTCCAGTCCCCACGAAGCCGCCATCGCCCCGAGAGTAGGTGCGTCGCCTTTCGGCATGCGTTGACGCGCTTGAAGGAGCTGCGTCGCCATGGAATCTAATGACTTGTTGCCGTTGAGCCGGGACGGGTGATTGGCCCACTTGACCAGTGACGTCAAAGTCGTGGTTGTGGGCGATTGCTTGAGATAAAGGCGTGGCTGGTCACTGGTCCATGTGTAGTACTTGACAACTTCTTCCGGCGTGCTGTGCATGGTGAGCAATTGTGACGCCGCCGGCTTGGACGGCGGTGAAGACACTCCGTGAAGAGACTGAATGATCCGGGGTTGCACCGCGCTATCAAACGACTTGCCATCAAGGGCCGCTGCGCTGGCTGTAGGGAGGGAGCTGGCAGGTGACGAGGATTGTGTGTGGTTGACCGGTGGCGGTGTAACCAACTCTGCATCATCTTTCTGGCTTGCCATCGTGGGAGAGGTCGAAGTGCGCAGCGATGCTGAATACTGAGCCTGGAGCAGCTCATGCGCACGATTTAGATCATTGTACTTCTTGACCATGTCATCTGTCTGGGTGGAAGGTGTGAGAGAAGCGTGGTGTTGCTGAAGAAATTGAAGTACCAAGCTGGCCAAATGGACATGAACCTTGATCCGCTGATTGAAGTCATCGATGTTGAGACCCAGCGAGTTGGCAAGGTCCTTTTCCAGGGTGAGCAGGTTGATCGACTGTGATCGTCGTAGTAGTTTGGAACATGTACTCCAAAGTAAGGCCTCGGTGCGAGTGCGAAAGCCTTCCCACGTCACGAATCTGCCGTGAGCGAACGGTCGGAGCAGCCAGTTGGTGAGGCCCCCATGAATAACCTGAACCAGGCGAACGTCACGAATATCCATGCCTGACATGTTGGCAGGTTGCCATGCGGAGTGTTGGCAACGGTCATGGGCAGGCTAAAGTTGTAGAGCTGATTGACATCAAACATGCCATCTCCAGGTGTCCAGTCAGGCGATGGTGTAAGCCAGGCTTTCTGAGGGCGAACCGGTAGAGCCGCAGGAGGTCCAGGTGGCGGTGTAGGTTGCGGAGTAGTGACATCACGGGTGGCATGAACTTCGTTGGCGTGGGGTCTGGAGGGATCGGCATCATGTAGTTGATCGCTGGGTGTTGGAATTGCTGTGTGGGACTGTGAGTCGATTGAAAATTGGTGGGCATCATCGGGAAATTGCTGGCAGAGTTGTAGCCGGAATTGTGTTGCCAAGATACCAGGTTGTTCCAATCCATGCCTTCCGAGACGTGGTGGTCATTGTGTTCACGTCGGTGTGCTTTACGAGCCTGAGGAGAAGTACTCCGATCACGTCTGCGCCGAGTCCTGGATCTATCACGATCATCACGTCGAGACATGGTTACACAATCGACTCTCAATCTTCACGCTTCCATCTTGAGAGACACGTATCAGACAACAAGCAAATCCATGCAACGGCAAGGTATCAACGAATCCAACAAATGGCAAGCAAACGCAAACATCAGTGGTGAGACGTCTCTATGATCTGACCGCTGTCTTCCCTTTAGTGAAACCTCGTTCCTGGTTAAATGTGAAATTCCGCTGTTCTATGATAAGCACGTTGAGGTCAAATTTTCCGACAGAGCCGGCCCGGGGTCACACAATGGGTACACCCGAGGATTCCCCACGAATGGGGTGTACACACTTAAACTCCAAATGGAGAGTGCTAATCTTTCGAGTACAACTGATGAGTCTCGAGTACAACTGATGAGTCTCGAGTACAACTGGGGACAAACCCCATCGGCTTGCTGGTCACTTGGCTTCCCTGTAGTTACTTCAACAGGGAAACAAGGAAGCAACAGCGGTTCAGGGGGGGACCAAAAGGACGTTCAGAGCATCACGACTTTCTCAAATTGCAGGTACGTCCAGAAGGCGTCCCTTCCGGATTTCACGATCAAACCATCACTGTCTTCGTTGGGCAGTGAGTGATGGCGATCCACTGCCCCCCTGCTGAGAAACCGAAAGGGTGGTGACAGGGCATTCTGTCACTCCGCACACACACACACACTTGGACTTGTGTCTTCCCAACAACAAATGGCTGTGGGTAGTAACTTCAGCGAAGAAGAACACAATCACCAGGCACATCGTGCAGAAGCCTCAACCCCCCCCCCCCGGTGGAAGGCTGCCTTCAACGGAGCTCGAAATACTCCAGCTGCGGGTCACCGAAGTAGGCCTGCTCTGACTCAAGCCAAGCCCGAGCCAAATACCCGATGGATCTGCAACACATTCCCAGGTTTCCGCAGGTGCCCTGCAAAGTCAGGAATTTTAAATCCCACTGGACGCGGCTTCGTGTGATGCTGTCTGGAACCATGATCGGAAGCAGCAGAAACCTCAACCATCGGCAACTTGTGTCATGACTGCTGTTGTTGTGTGTTGCTTTCGTGATGACTAAGTGAACAACCGAGAAAAACATTCTGGCATCTTAATATGTTTTTACCTCGGTCGAGAGTAGGGTCAGCCTGGCTGCCTGGAAAAGCCAGTGACATAGCCTCATTGATCTCGATAAGGTAATTACGGTCCGTCGACCGTATGTGAGTCTGGGTGTGTGCGCAAGCGCCCAACATGTTTGGTCCAATAAAGGAGCAGCACATGGCTGCCACTCGATGGGCAGTCCAATGACGGCAATGGTCGACTGGCGACGAAGCAGCAAAGCCCAGGCAACCCTTGCAGCAGTGCCCAGATCTCTCGGTTGCTCTATTGGATGAGGATGAGCGTGGATCTTCTTATGCTGAAGGCTCCCGCATGTGAACTGAATTTCCAAGAAACCGACGAACAAACAAACAACCAACCAACCACCAACCAAACAAAGAAACGAGCAAGCAAGCAACCAACCAAACAACAACCAGCCAAACAAACAGCCAAGCAACCAAACAAGCAAACAAACAAGCAAACAACCAGCCAAACAAACGGCCAAGCGACCAAACAAGCAAACAAACAAACAAACAACCAGCCAAACAAACAGCCAAGCAACCAAACAAGCAAACAAACAAACAAACAGCCAAACAAACAACCCAGCAACCAAACAAACAAACAAACAAACAAACAAACAAACAAACAAACAAACAAACAAACAAACAAACAAACAAACGAACACACAAACAAACAACCGACCGCTATGAATCAAAGCAAACAACATAATCCAAAACATGTATATGCAATATTTACTGGGAGTTGCGATCCTTTAACCCTGCTTCTCTTGCAAAGTCTGGCCGCACAACAAAAGGCCGAGTGCCCAAGTGAATTGAAGGCCTAGAGAATGAAGACGTGTTGTTCTGTGGCGATGCGAGTCACGAGCCGGCAACCCACCTGCATGCTGGGCTTCCATTCGCAGGGCCTCAGGTCTTGCGAAGACGGGAGGTTGGAGAAAACGATGCGATGCGAACGAAAATGCTGGATAGACTCCCTCAGACTAGCTTGGAAGATTTCAGAAGGCCTCTGCTACTCAAGTCTTCCAAGGACTTCCTGGGAGCTTCCATGTTACGCCGGGGGAGGGTAGAGGAAAAATGCGCAACATCGACCATGGTAAAACGGTAGAATCATATTGCATGCTCAATGCCGGAGGAATCGCAAACATCCCGGTATCATCTAGTGAAATTCATGTTCTGTCTATTTTGTTGCTGGCTGTATGGGATTGAAAAGGATTTTGCGAGCACTTTGGCTGCCCACCCAGCAATGGAGGAAATCGTAGACGATAAAACCATTTCACTCCTCCTGCCTCCCTCAAAGCTGAGTTGATGAGGGAGATCACCTTCTTGTGTTGACCATGTTGACCATATAAAATCAAGAACGCAACCAACCCAAATCAAGCAAATGTCGGGCGACAGGTCAGAAAATTGTCCCAATTTGTCAACCTGAAATATCACGGCAATGAGGCCACTTCCAATAGGTCACTATCATTAACATGAAGCTGAAGTGCAAGGACACATCTGCAAGTAATTATTGCCCCGTGAGGGGTTGACGCTATGGTGTAGTCATCGTTCAAAATCGTGTGAGCAAAATGTACGTAGAATGCAAACAGACCGGGGTGGACTCAAACCATTGACATGGTGCCTTGTGACATCGCGTCCGCGAGCAATGATGCCTTATCCCTTGCCATGTGGCCTGCTCGTGAATGTAGAGCGATCAAAGCGGAGCGAATGATCTCCCCCTCATAGCGCAAGCGTCGAGTATATCCCATCTTGTTACCTTGCTGCCCCTTTCCAAAATTGAGTCGATCCCGTAGGAAGTCCCACAGAAAGCCCTCATCTCACCAACCTGCGAATTCTTCAGAAGGCTGCCACACCCAAACAAACCACAAACTTCACCAACCTGTTCTGTCCCCAACAAGCCCCGAACAATTGTTCAAAGGGCCGGAACCAGCCAAAAACCCACACGTGTCACCACCCTGACCTTCCGTGCCACCCACAAACAACCAACCCACAAACCCACCCTCGCGCGCTTCTGGGCCGCCAGGCTCATGAGGCTTCAAGCGCATGCCGCCCAGGAAGGTGCCATGTGTGGAGCCCAGGTCCTGCGAAAAAGGCTTCGAGCGAGGCGACGCGGCCGCGTCACAGATCCCGTACCGGGGGGGGTCTGAGCCACACATTGGGTCCCAGGGGTGGAGCCAAGGTCATGTTGGGCGGGGCTCATTGGGCGTTTCAGTCTGTTGAAGGGAATAGGCTGAGGCTCCAAAGACTTCAAGTTGAGAGCAAGGATGCTCCTCGGAGTGTTGAGATGGCTTCTCAGTTGTTGACTTGCAACAGCTTGGGACAGTGTGAGTGGAGTCGCTGAGGATTGCAGGTGGGTATATACAGCAGTTGGAGGCGGAGCACGTCCTTTCCTTGCTAGCAAGTCTGTAATACCTGCTTTGACACTGTATGATCTACAACTACTTACGTCGCAAGAGAATCCCACAATCCACCTGGCAAGTTTTGGTAACACTGAATATTCCCTAACTACTACTCAAAAAACGCTGCAGCCAACTTCTCAACTACACCCGGGCAGGTAAAGCACAGTAAGGCGGCAACCACGAACCTGGCAAACATACCCTGCCGATAGCCGGGATAAATTGATGCGACAATCTGTTGCCAAACAAACGCCTGAACACAATCGCCTGAAAAAGAGTCCACCGCAACAATACGCCACAGTTCTTTCTAAGTGTTGACTGCTGCTGTCCTGACGCCCAACCAAAACCGTAGTTTACATTGTGGCAAAGGAACTATACGTTTGACGTTTCCAACATATGAGCACATCAGCAAAACAAATAGTGCAAAAAGTATGCTTCTTCCCGCAACTTCGCTATTGCACTCTGATGTAGGAGGCCGTACTGTACTTTGTAGAGTTCTACGGGGGGATCAGGCGCTGGGGCCTTGTGTCTGTTGAGACTATGGCTGCTGAGACCTTGGCGTTTGTGATACTTCCTATGCTAATATCCAACGCACGCTCTGGAGCGGTGGTTGCCATCAACCAGACATTCTCCTGATAGGTGCCTTTCCTAGGACCTCTCAGTGGCACTCCATAAACAAAAGTCAGTCGCCGGCTCTTACTCGAATGCTTACCATGACAGCCGGTCCACGTACCACGCGGTGATTCGAAGACGCTTCACTAAATCTGTTCATTGTGCGGGCTTGCGCAACTCAGTTTGTCAAAAACATTGGGGTGTTCGATTCCCCCCGGGTGCGCTTTCGCATCCTTAGCAGTTCCAGTGGCACATCGCCAGCATCACCTGCATCATCCGCATCAGCGCCTGCCAAGGATGCGGATGGTGCAAGTGATGCTGGGGATGTTGCCCATGCTGGTGAAGGAAATGAAGGGGGGAAAGGGGAAAGGATCTCAACAGCGAAAGGGGGGGAAAGATCTCAGGGAGGAAAGGGAGAAGATCTGGGGAAAAAATGCCTTAAGGGGGAAAGGGGGGAAAAGATCTTTGGGAGGAAAATGGAAATCTTTCTCGGGGGGAATAGGCCCTAAGGGGCAATGGGGGGACAGGATCTCAAACGGGAAAGATCTCAGGGAGGAAAGGGAGAAGATCTGGGGAAAAAATGCCTTAAGGGTGTTGAGATCCTTTCCCCCCTTCCCTTTAAGGCCTCTCCAGATCTTCTCCCTTTTCCTTCCTAAGATTGTTTCCCGCCTTTCCTTGTTGAGATCCTTCCCACCCTTTCCCCCCTCAGCCCCCTGAGAGCTTCTCCCTTTTCCTTTCCTTCCTTAGATCTTTCCCCCCTTTCCCTGTTGGCCTTTTTCTCTCAGATCTTCTCCCTTTCCTCCCTAAGATCTTTTCCACCCCTTTCCCTGTTGAGATCCTTTCTCCCCTTTCCCCTCTACGGCCATTGCCCCCAGATCTTCTCCCTTTCCTCCCTAAGATCTTTCCCCCCCTTTCCCTGCTCAGATCCTTTCCCCCCTTTCCCCCCTAAGGCCTTTCCCCCCCTGAGATCTTCTCCCTTTTCCTCCCTAAGATCTTTTGCCACCTTTCCCTGTTGAGATCCATTCCCCCTTTCCCCCCTAAGGCCCTTTCTCCCTCTGAGTTTTTCCCTTTTCCTCCCTACGATGTTTTCCCCCCTCTCCCTGTTGAGATCCTTTCCCTCCTTTCCCCCCTAAGGCCTTTTTTCCCCCCGCGATCTTCCCCCTTTTCCTTCCTAAGATCTTTTCCCCCCTTTCCTTGTTGAGATCCTTTCCCGCCCTTTCCCCCCTAAGGCGTTTTCCCCCCCAAGATCTTCTCCCTTTTCCTCCCTAAGATCCTTTGCCCCCTTTCCCTGTTGAGGTCCTTTCCCCTCTTTCCCCCCTAAGGCCTTTCCCCCCCTGAGATCTTCCCCCTTGTCCTCCCCAAGATCTTTTCCCTTGGTTGAGATCCTTTCCCCCTTTCCCCCCAAGATCTTCTCCCTTTTCCTCCCTAGGATCCTCTCCCACCTTTCCCTGTTGAGCTCCTTTCCCCCTTTTCCCCCTAAGGCCTTTTCAGATCTTCTCCCTTTTCCTCCCGAAGATCCTTTGCCCCCTTTCCCTGTTGAGATCCTTTCCCCCTTTCCCCCCTAAGGCCTTTTCCCTGCCTGGGATCTTCTCCCTTTCCTCACTGAGATCTTTCCCCCCCTTTCCCTGTTGAGATCCTTTCCCTCCTTTCCTTCCTAAGGCCTTTCCCCCCGCTGAGATCTTCTCCCTATTCCTCCTTAAGATCCTTTGCCTCCTTTCCCCGTTGAGATCCTTTCCCTTCTTCCCTTTAAGGCCTTTCCAGATCTTTTCCCTTTTCCTTCCTAAGATTGTTTCCCCCCTTTCCCTGTTGAGATCCTTCCCACCCTTTCCCGCCTAAGGCCTTTCCCCCCTGAGAGCTTCTCCCTTTTCCTTCCTTAGATCTTTCCCCCCTTTCCCTGTTGGCCTTTTTTCCCCCAGATCTTCTCCCTTTCCTCCCTAAGATCTTTTCCACCCCTTCCCTGTTGAGATCATTTCTCCCCTTTCCCCTCTTGTCCCCAGATCTTCTCCCTTTCCTCCCTAAGATCTTCCCCCCCCCCCCTTTCCCTGCTGAGATCCTTTTCCCCCTTTCCCCCCTAAGGCCTTTCCCCCCCCTGAGAGCTTCTCCCTTTTCCTTCCGAAGATCTTTTCCCACCTTTCCCTGTTGGGCTTTCCCCCCTAAGTCCTTTTCTCCCAGATCTTCTCCCTTTCCTCCCTAAGATCTTCCCCCCCCTTTCCTCCCTAAGATCTTTCCCACCCTTTCCCTGTTGAGATCCTTTCCCCCCTTTCCCTCCCAAGGCCTTTCCCCCCCCTGAGAGCTTCTCCCTTTTCCTTCCTAAGATCTTTTCCCCCCTTTCCCTGTTGGGCTTTCCCCCCTAAGTCCTTTTCTCCCAGATCTTCTCCCTTTCCTCCCTAAGATCTTCCCCCCCCCTTTCCTTCCTAAGATTGTTTCCCCCCTTTCCCTGTTGAGATCCTTCCCACCCTTTCCCCCCTGAGGCCTTTCCCCCCCTGAGAGCTTCTCCTTCCGTAGGTCTTTCCCCCCTGTCCCTGTTGGCCTTTTTCCCCCAGATCTTCTCCCTTTCCTCCCTGAGATCTTTTCCACCCCTTTCCCTGTTGAGATCATTTCTCCCCTTTCCCCCCTAAGGCCTTTGCCCCCAGATCTTCTCCCTTTCCTCCCTAAGATCTTTCCCCCCCTTTCCCTGCTCAGATCATTTCCCCCCTTTCCCCCCTAAGGCCTTTCCCCCCCTGAGATCTTCTCCCTTTTCCTCCCTAAGATCTTTTGCCATTTTTCCCTGTTGAGATCCATTCCTCCTTTCCACCCTATTTCTCCCTCTGAGTTTTCCCTTTTCCTCCCTACGATGTTTTCCCCCCTCTCCCTGTTGAGATCCTTTCCCTCCTTTCCCCCCTAAGGCCTTTTTTCCCCCCGCGATCTTCCCCCTTTTCCTTCCTAGGATCTTTTCCCACCTTTCCTTGTTGAGATCCTTTCCCGCCCTTTCCCCCCTAAGGCGTTTTCCCCCCCAAGGTCTTCTCCCTTTTCCTCCCTAAGATCCTTTGCTTGCTTTCCCTGTTGAGATCCTTTCCCCCCTTTCCCCCCTAAGGCCTTTCCCCCCCTGAGATCTTCTCCCTTGTCCTCCCCAAGATCTTTTCCCTTGGTTGAGATCCTTTCCCCCTTTCCCCCCGAGATCTTCTCCCTTTTCCTCCCTAGGATCTTCTCCCACCTTTCCCTGTTGAGCTCCTTTCCCCCTTTTCCCCCTAAGGCCTTTTCAGATCTTCTCCCTTTTCCTCCCTAAGATCCTTTGCCCCCTTTCCCTGTTGAGATCCTTTCCCCCTTTCCCCCCTAAGGCCTTTTCCCTGCCTGGGACCTTCTCCCTTTCCTCACTGAGATCTTTCCCCCCCACGGCCTTTCCCCCCGCTGAGATCTTCTTCCTATTCCTCCTTAAGATCCTTTGCCCCCTTTCCCTGTTGAGATCCTTTCCCCCCTTCCCTGTAAGGCCTTTCCAGATCTTCTCCCTTTTCCTTCCTAAGATTGTTTCCCCCCTTTTTTGTTGAGATCCTTCCCACCCTTTCCCCCCTCCTTCCCACCCTTTCCCCCCTCAGGCCTTTCCCCCCCCTGAGAGCTTCTCCCTTTTCCTTCCTTAGATCTTTCCCCCCTTTCCCTGTTGGCCTTTTTTCCCCCAGATCTTCTCCCTTTCCTCCCTAAGATCTTTTCCACCCCTTCCCTGTTGAGATCATTTCTCCCCTTTCCCCCCTAAGGCCTTTGTCCCCAGATCTTCTCCCTTTCCTCCCTAAGATCTTTCCCCCCCCCCCCTTTCCCTGCTGAGATCCTTTTCCCCCTTTCCCCCCTAAGGCCTTTCCCCCCCCTGAGAGCTTCCCTTTTCCTTCCTAAATCTTTTCCCCCCTTTCCCTGTTGGGCTTTCCCCCCTAAGTCCTTTTCTCCCAGATCTTCTCCCTTTCCTCCCTAAGATCTTCCCCCCCCCTTTCCTCCCTAAGATCTTTCCCACCCTTTCCCTGTTGAGATCCTTTCCCCCCTTTCCCTCCCAAGGCCTTTCCCCCCCTGAAGATCTTTTCCCCCCTTTCCATGTTGGCCTTTTTTCCCCAGATCTTCTCCCTTTCCTCCCTAAGATCTTTTCCACCCCTTTCCCTGTTGAGATCATTTCTCCCCTTTCCCCCCTAAGGCCTTTTTGCCCCAGATCTTCTGCCTTTCCTCCCCAAGATCTTCCCCCCCCCCCCCAGCTCCCTGTTGAGATCATGTATTTCCCCCCTTTTCCTTCTAAGGCCTTTTCCCACCCTCAGTTCTCCCTTTTCCTCCCAAAGATCTTTCCCCCCCTTTCCTCCCTAAGTCCTTTTCCCTGAGTTTGTCTCCCTTTGCCTCCCTAAGATCTTTTCCCCCCTTTCCCGCTTAAGATCCTTTCCCCCGTTTCCCCCCTAAGGCCTTTTCCCCCCAAGATCTCCACCCTTCTCTTCCCAAAGTCTTTTTCCCCCTTTCCCGTTTGAGATCCTGTCCCCCCATTGCCCCTTGGGGCCTGTTCCCCCCGAGAAAGATTTCCATTTTCCTCCCAAAGATCTTTTCCCCCCTTTCCCTTAAGGAGGAATAGGGAGAAGATCTCAGCGGGGGGAAAGGCCGTAGGGGGGAAAGGGGGGAAAGGATCTCAACAGGGAAAGGGGGGGAAAGATCTCAGGGAGGAAAGGAAAAAGATCCCAGGGAGGAAAAGGCCGTAGGGGGGAAAGTGGGGGAAAGGGAGGAAAAGGGAGAAGATCTCAGGGGGGAAAAGGCCTTAGGGGGGAAAGGGGGGAAAGGATCTCAACAGGGAGAGGGGGGAAAACATCTTAGGGAGGAAAAGGGAAACATCAGAGGGAGAAAAGGCCAGGGGGAATGGATCTCAACAAAGAAAGGGGGGGCAAAAATCTCAGAGGGGAAGGGGGCAAGGGGACAATTCCAAAGGGACGCAAATAAGAAAGCAGGCCTGTAATGTCGGCGGCCTGAGCCGGAGGCACTAAAATATGGCTAGGAAATTTGATGGGGAACCTCAAAAGTGGTTGGTGGACATGAATCCCCACCGCATTTAGATGTCTACCAAAGGGTCCCTCACACTCCCGCAATGGCAAGGTCTGGCAGCCTTGAACTCGGTCCTGCAGGAAGATCTTGCCCAGCCAATTCTGCATCACCAAGGCATGTGCCTTTGACCTAAGGAACAAAACCAAGGCGTGGATCAGCCCATGTGTGCGTTGGCTGTTGAACCTTGAATTAGAACAAACAAAAACATGTACATATGCACGTGTGCAAACATACATACGTATATGTGTGTATATATTATTGTATCGGTGTACTACTAATAAAAGCCCTAAGTGGCCGCAAAGCTGCTTCTTGTTGCCTTTCAAAACATGAAAACTTGACCAGCTGCCACGTCGCGAGTGGTAACAAGCGCGGAGGAATCGATCTTGCTAATGACGTTTATAGTGCTGCTAATGACAAACGGTAGCAATGGCAACTGATAGTACAATGGTGACAGTCTTGCAAAATCACAGTGATAGTAGCGTTGAAAGCGATGATGATGACGATGATGATGGTGATGATGATGATGATGATGACGATGACGACGATGATGACGATAACGGCGACGACGACGATGATGATACGAGCAATGCATCACATAGTCATGATTCTACTAAACTAAGTATATAATAATTGATCATAGTAACAACAATGACCAATGATGTTGATCAATGAGATGACAACGGCGACAGGCTGCGGGACGGGTGGTGGGCATGCAAGCCGCAAGGCTGTGCCTCTGTCCAGCTTCTCAGCCAAGAACACACACACACACAACACATGTACTATGCCCAGCACTATCAATATGCCGAGCTGGAAATCCCGACGTGTGTACACCCATATATATATAATGTACATATATATATATATAATGTTAATTCTACCCTGTTACACCCCAACAACCAAGTAACTCTGGATCATCGAGTGGTTGAACTATTTTGACCATTCACCTACCGTCATGTTGCAAAACCAAGGGTTCAAAGGCTCCCTATGGGAAAACTCGTTTTCGTCTCATGTTGAAGTGAGTTCTCAATACGGGACTCAGAAATGCCCAGAAGCTACAAATATCAGTTCGGCCAAAGCACAAGCACACACACACACACTGCCACCAAAGCAAGTACTGGACCTCTGCAAAAGAAAGCTAGGAAGCACCATGAGGAAACTTCACTCAGACGCCCGAGAAGAGGCTGTGTGCCCGGGCGAGATGGGACACGCGAGCCCGATGTCGGGCCTGGGCGAAGATCCCAGGCCCAAACGTAGGGGAAGAAGCACGTTTTGTGCGTTCCGGTGCCTCCGGGAGGTTTTGCTTAGTTGCAAAAAAGCAGGAAGCCATACACAGGCACAAATTCCTCTCAGAACAATTGTGCTGCTTCATGAATTGATATGAAAAGCTTCTTGCGCAGGCTTGTGCCCCATGATCAACTGAGACTCCGAGAATCATTCTACCCTGCAAGTCATGGAAGACTCAAAAATGTAACACATCAACACATTTCGGGTACCTGCAGATCACCATGCATAGGATGGATGGAGCGAAAGCTCCATTCAACTCTCCCCTTGGGGCTTGAGGGAAGCAGCCCACCGGTGTGCCCGTTGCCGAGATCCAGCTCAAGCTGCAGCGCAGACTTTCAGCCGAAAAGCCCACGTCCAACGACAGTGAATGTCTCCGGCCCAATTGGCGCGTTTCTTGTTTGCCACTTAGTGAGGCAAAACTATCACAGTTTTATCATGGTATCAATTCTATCTCGGGGAACAGTTTCATGACTCTTGCAAAAACCGTCCTCAATAGGCACCATCCTGAGACCAACTCCAAGCACATACGCTGAGGCGTTCCAACAAACCTGGCCCAACCTCTGATTTCAACGTTTGCAAACAACCATGTTTGATACAAGTCATGCTGCTCCTGGATCACTTTGAATTGATGGTCAATGACATGTACCCCTTTGGGCGTCCATGCACCGCTCAGAGCAACATGGAACAGTCTGCCACTGGGCAGCTGCATATTCAATCTCTCGCACAAAGATGCAACCCCAGAGAGGCCAACCTGTGCAACCACCAGAGCTTGAAGCACGTGCAACATAACATATCAGATGCTTCCTATGGCCATTCTTTGTCCAATTGTCTTCCACTAACAAACTAACAAACTGGTGTTCTTACTGAATGTGCGGTGCCAAGTGCCAAACAAGAAAGGCCCTACGTGGTCCTACGTGGTCTGGACGATTGATCTGCCGTTGGCTGCTGGGGGCAAAGGCAATACTTGTGCTGAGCTACAATCTTCATGAGGCTGCAGACCTTTCAGGGGAAGCTCTACTCAGATTAGCGCCATTGATTGCATGACTGGACAACTAGACGCCTAGCATAAAGAGGACAAACAGGTTGTGAGAATTCCAGCTCAAATATGACACGTCACTTCGTTTCGTGGCAAACAACAATTAACTTGCCCACTGGCTTTTGACAAGTCAGATTTGTGTGCTATCCATCGTGTTTGGTGCGGAAGCATCTGGAAAACAACAAAACCACCACCACCCACCCAGTAATGAGGGCAAAACGGATGTGGTCACCAGAGGGGAGGGGAGTATCTAAGCAAACCTGCGCGAACCCCAAAATACCTGAGCTGTAAACCTGCTACAAGTCGCTCGCCAAAGAGCGTTATCAGCATTCTTGACCCCCAGGGTTTGGTCCATCTTGTCGCCAGCCCGTGCAAAGCTCTAAGGATGCTCTAAGGTCAACACTTGTGGGGAATCGTTGAGCACCGAAAAACCGGACATGGGCACTACTTGTCGCCTGGATCAGCACGACTTCGCGCGTAACATCTGTGGGACCCTTTTTCAGCGGGCCCATCCAGCCCCCAAGACCAACACAAAAAAAGTCTGGATGATCTCCGGCACTAGTCCAAAAACTGGACCCATCTTTGTTCCCCACCTCCATGCTGGTGCGAAACAAGGATGCGCATTCTTGACATTCCTGCACTGAAAAAGACTCGTAGGACCTGTTTTCGGTTTAACGAACCAAGCGAAGACAACTGCAAGACCCGGTGCTCAGCAGGGAATGAGGAAATCACCCCTATAAACCATCCAGCTGGTGGTTTCCTTTAAGACCCCTTTTGTTCATTCCCACATCCCCTGAGCACCAGGAAAAACACACATGCAAGGCCAAGGGGCTCTGGCACACCTGCACGCTTCGCTTCCAGCACCTGCGCCTCTGGCAGCCTGCAAGCCACTCCGCATGTGTGTCTGGTTTCACAGTACCCAAATCATTTTGCTGGTTTCGAAGGAAAACCAAAAGAAGAACCATCATTTTGGAGGATCCCCTGAAAAAAACACATACTCCATAGCCTCCCCGCACTCTTTGATTTGTTGTTTTTTGGGGGGGAACGGGCCCCAGACCTGGATCATATAGGGGAAGCCGAAGGCCTTTGGGTCTTCAAATCACAGGAAGACCTTCCCAAGAATCCTTCTATGGCGGCTGAGCGGAGCTTCTCCCAAAATGCTCCACTGTGATGGCACAGCAGCAAAAGCATGGATGTACATCTAGGTCCTCCAGTAGAGAGGATAGAATAAGGGTGCCATTTATTTTCAGGAAGACTATTTTAGTAGGGAAACCCTCCACCAAAAAAATGGGCGAGAAAGCACCACTGAAAACCTAGACATAGTTCATCAGGCCAAAGGATCGCTGTGCTTGGCTAAGAGCCAAAGTTCGCACCTCATCCCCTCAAAATGCATCATCAAGTTTAAATAGACCCTTTAGTGGACATCACTTCGGGGGGAATGCATCCCACCAACCACTTTTAAGGCGGTGCCTTTCATCAAATCATCGCCGCAAGCACCTGCCTGCGCCCGAGCAGCGCCCATGCCCGGCCTCACTCAGACTCGTGGCGTCTGCCGAGTATTGAGCCAGGAGAAGCCAAGAGATCAAGCCACACGTCTGCTAGCTCTGGGTCTTGGAGTCTTGCGTTCTTTGCTAACTCTGCACTTCAGTTTGAACATTGACATTGTGACTTCGTGATCTTTGATCATGAACAAGTACTAAACAGTATTTGGTTGGTTGCTGGAACAACTCAAATTGAAGTCCTGGCAAACATCGACAGGCAGGCGAAACATCCCTATATAAATACATGTATATATATATATATATATATGGTACCCCCCCAGTACCCAGGTGTTGTTGCATCATGCATCAACACCATTGATATTTACAGTGTATTTTGATTGAACTCATGCATTTTCTGCAAGGCCATTTTGTGGACCAAAAAAACAAAAAAAACAAAAATCCAAAAAACCCAAAAAACAAAAAATCAAGCCTAGCCCCTACCATGGCTGGGATTCTTTGTTTTTGTTTTTTCCCCAACAGCTGAAAGCTTGGGGCCTCAGCCCAGATAGGCTCCGGGGTGGTCCGGGGCGGCCCTGAGGTAAGGTTCCACGAGAGTTCCACCAGGGTTCCACCAGGGTTCCACCAGGGTTCCACGAGGTTTTGCGAGGGTTGCGGGGTGGTGCGAGCTTTAAAAAGAGCACCGCATGCTGTTGGGGATATCACCTGAGCTTATTTTTTTGTTTTTTGGTTTTTTGGCCCAGGGAAATGTTGCGCAACAAGCTCCAAATGTTGCGCAACATTTGCGGAGCATGATGAGAGGATATGTGAACCTTTGTGAAAGAAGGCGTGTTCTGGGTGAGAGGATACGTGAATTTTCTGTAGAGAAGAGTTATTGAAAAAGACATGTTTTGTGTGAGATGATATGTGAGTCTTTGTGGAAGAGTCAGAGTTACAGTGATTCATAAAAGTACAGCAAAAGACAGTAAATATCATGTAAAACCACCATTTATGTAACACAAACTGTCCCAGCCATAGCCTGGCTTTATTTTACACAGGGTTCACTTTCCTTGGCAACTCTTTCACATATGCTGCCTTTGTTTCATTGAGAGAAGACATGTAAAAAGACATGGGTTGGGTGAGAGGAAGTGTGAATTTTCTGTGGAAGAGTCTTTGAAACAAGGCATGGTTTGTGTGGGAAGATATGTGAATTTTCTGTGGAATAGCCTTTGAAAAATGGCATGTTTTGGTGAGAGGATATGTGAACCTTGGTGAAAGAAGACATGTTCTGGGTGAGAGGATATGTGAATTTTCTGTAGAGAAGAGTTCTTGAAAAAGACATGTTTTGTGTGAGATGATATGTGAGTCTTTGTGGAAGAGTCAGGGTTACAGTGATTCATAAAAGTACAGCAAAAGACAGTAAATATCATTTAAAACTACCATTTATGTAACACAAACTGTCCCAGCCATAGCCTGGCTTTATTCTACACAGGGTTCACTTTCCTTGGCAACTCTTTCACATATGCTGCCTTTGCTTCATTGAAAGAAGACATGTAAAAGACATGTGTTAGGTGAGAGGATGTGTGAATTTTCCGTGGAAGAGTCTTCGAAACAAGGCATGGTTTGTGTGGGAAGATATGTGAATTGAATTTTGTGTGGAAGAGCCGTTGAAAAAGGGCATGGGTCACGTCCAAGGCGTCTTTCTTCACTGAGGCAAACCTCCTTCCTCTGGTCTCCCAGTGTGCAAATCTGAGCTGTTCTTCCTGCCTGCTTCCGCGGTCAAAGCACATCTGAACCAAGCCCAAACCTGAGTACCTGGGGGGGGTAGCATATATATATATATATATTATGTATGTATATGTATATGTCTATGTATGATATACACACCTCATTGGTGTGGCTGTCAGAGTGCAGTTTGGATGCAATCTGACCTGGGCAAACGACATGGGCGTGTATTCGGGCAAGGAAACGCGCCTGCTAAGATAGGTTTCTGTTTTGACTATAAGTTGATAAAGCTAGTGTCCATGGGCACGTCGAAAAACCAACTCCATCAAGCAGCCCAAACTGGAGAAACAAATGCAACAATCAGAACTCCAAGAACTCAACTTAACCCTTTTCATTCCTTTCGGTGAGCCTCGTCCGTACACGGTCACTCAACTAACCCCCAGGGACCTTCGTGGGGCTTGGTGGGTCAGCTCGCCATTTGGCCATGGGACAAAACTATTGGTACCATGTTGGGATAGGTGTACCACCCATTTTAGAACCTATTGCAGTGGGGATTGGGATGTTCACTGGGGGCTAACCGGGCTTTTGACCCATGGCCATTTGTCAAGCTTTCGGCAGGCGTTGAGGTCCCCCACGGCCAAGCTGTAGCCGCTTTGGCGGCCCTGGCACTCCGGAGACCTGCCGCACCTGCCGCTCAAAAACGGCATTTGCTTTGCCGTTGGCAGAAGAGCAATGACTCCGTCACTCATCTAGGGGTTGATTCCTTTTCCAGTCTTTTCAGCCATCGTTCTTTTCAAAAACCAGCAACCTGCCCAGGGTTTTTGGTGGTTTTCAAGAAAGAAGGTTTTCTGGAAAGAATGGAAATGGAAGTTCCCCCTACTCAGTTGCCCAAAGGACCTGGCACTAAAAGGTGATCACCTTTTGGGGTGGCAAAATATGGACCAGGGGGGACAAAGGCAGGAGTCTGGCAATCAAAGTTGTCGTGACAAAACCGGAAATGCACACTGAGCCAATCACGAGCCAACACACAGCCGTGCAAAAACTCATGCATCAAGCAGTGGTCCCACTTAGCAGGTGAAGACCAAGGGAGTGACTGAGTTTTACTTGGCCCCACGGAACATGTTCATGATTCAGGGGTAGTGGAGGATTTAGGAGTTCATCTTCTCCTCTTGCATTTGCTTTAGATATCAGTTGGCGGAGCACATTGAAATTCAACATTGAGTCTCAAGGGCTCCTGCTCCCAGCTTGATTAGCCCCCAAGCTGTGATTGTCTCGGCGACACTGTCTCGCATTCACATGGCCAAAGTTTACTCACCATTGACTTGTTCTTGCAACCTTGCACTTGGTATCAACGAGCAAATTGGCAAAGGCAGTGTGCCTGTGAGTCTCCACATTTGACAGGATTGATTGTGTAGCAGGATACGTGTTACGCGTTGCATTAAGCTTCCAGGTGATGCCTTGTTGTTGAGGAACCACCGGTTCTTGTGTTTATATATTGTTTTAAGGGCACCCGCTCCTTGATAGTGGTCGACTGACCAACCGTGCACAAAGTCCGACTGGCTCAAGGGTTTGTTGAATTTGGGCCATTGCGATCCGTTTGCGGTTGTATTGTGGTTTGCCCACTTTGTGCCACTTGTGCCTTAATTACGGTTCCTCCTTGATGGTGTCTCGGTGTTGAGTTTGCACGGCTATGACTATCCAGAAAGGCTATCCTCAAATAGCTTGGGTTCTTTCTCTTCTTCTGAAGACTCCATTCCCCTTTTGAACAATGGTCAGCTCTGAAACATCCACGCCCAAGAGACCTCAGTTGCTCAAAGCCGACCTTTTAACCTTTTGGTTTTCCAGTTGAAGGGCACTCAAGTTAGGTAAGTCATAATCAAAACCCGGTATCAAAATGGTCTACCCACCACGTAACGAACTCAGAAGGCGGATATCCGCAACTATTTCTGGTTGGGATTGGCTTTTCCTAACCTTCATCTACACGGGTTTTGATTGTGGCTCAGGTGTTTTCCCTCCGAGGCCGAGGCGATTTCGAAGACAGCTTCCTGGCCAGGGACAAAGCAGTGTGAGTAACGCTGAGCGACGCTGAGGCCAAATCCTTGTCACAAGTCCCTGCGCGTTTTATGCTCTTGGTTAGATGACCAAATATAGGTCCAAACGAGCTGCTGATCATCCTGAAAACCCTCTCTGGATGCGTGACGTGATTAGCCTACTTTTGGGTCAAGAACCAATCCTGGCATCCAAATCAATCCGGACAAAGCGGAAATGCTTAAGGATACAGCTGCCGAGCCCTGGTAGAGGGAACCCGGTGACGTAGGAACCCAACGTGGACATCGGGTGTCACGGAACTGGGATCGTTCCTCCTGTTTGGTGTGAAGAATCGGCCCATGCACCGTTGAATTCAACGTAAAGTACCACGCAGATCGTGCTTCGCAAACCTCGGATTCGGGCCTCACCTTTCAAATCCCCATGTTCACTCGAAGCGCAGGGAACGGAAGCCTCAAAAGATTCTGCTCGTTTCCGTTGGTAGCACCTCTGTAAGGTCTATGGCATCGAAGGGATTCCCGTGGAGAAGATTCTACGCGGTTCCTGCACCGCCGCACATGTCGAAGATGGTGAATGTGACTGCGGCAGGACTTTCCTTCTTCGGGGCGAGACACTGTGACAAAACAGCGTCAAACCTGCCAATCCTGTGTTGACAGAGAGCACTGAACAATCCAGACTTGGTACGTATGTTGCATTGGGGGCAAACGACCATGGAAGCCTTGGATTGACATGCACGTCTCAAATGATCTCAGTTTTACAGCGACAATTGATCGCGGGACTGCATCGTTTCCTGGTGAAAGCCAAACAACAGGGTCCATAACAGCCTGGGCAGCCGTTCTAAAGCAGGCCGGGTGGACAACATCGCGCGGATTTGGCATGACACACCTTGCCGAAGAACATTTGGAAGGTGATCAGGTGCATGACACGGCGGTGTCCCCTAACTTGGCAGTCTTTTGGCGACGGTATGGGGACCATTAGGACTCATCAGTCTTTGTCCTGGCCGAACACCTTGGAAGAAATGCAGACATTGTGCCGGCCGTGCAGAGCCAATGCAGCCGGCCCCTGTTGCCCAAGAGTTCACATCTGATGCACTGAAGGAGGCCGCAACCTCCCTTTGCGAGGTCGCCGCAGCTGTTTGGTCAAAACAAACATTGGAGAAAGGCAAGCCAACCACGCAATCAAACACTCTGGTTGCCGTCAGGTTTGAGCGGACTTGGGATGTTAGGCATTCAGGAATGCTGTGGCCCTCCAGCTCAAAAGTGGCCAATGCTTCAGCCACTGCTCTGACAATTTCAATCATTGGTTAATTTCGGCATGTCCTAGTAACTTAGACAAAATTGACCTCGCACATGCAACTTTGGGAGTGAAGCGTTTTCTGGACCCTAATGACCAGCCCACGTTCTCAACAGAGGTTCGGCCAGCAAGTAATGAGAAAAACCGAGAGCATCAAGCTAATCACCGCCATTTTCCCGGCAACGCTGTTGCTTGGTTGCCTTGTGGATTTGGCGTGGCGAAACGGCTCCAAGTCGGTTTGCTCATCTTTAGAGAAGGAATCAACTGATTTCAAGACAGGCTGCCGCGTGTCTGCCGCTTTTTAACACAGAGGAAGCAATTGTCGGGTTGCCTCGGGCAACCCCGTCCACCCCTGTCAGACTGCACAACACAGGCGCAAGCAGTGCAAATGGCTAAACACTGGTCATGACACATGTACTGTTTGTAGAAGCAAACAATTAAAGCTGGCGCGGGTCCGCGGCTTTTCCCACAACAGCCTGATATAGTCTGTGCTGTTCTCGCAAGAAGCTGTGTGCTAGCAGTTGGTTACGAACTGCAAATCAACCCACCCACACAAACACGCAGTGTTCCCTGTCAGGATTCCACAAGCTAGTCCTGTCCATCCCTACAGAAGCCTTGTAGTAGCACAATGCCCATAACCATTCAACTTCGAAGCGTGGTTGGAGAATGGCATGGGCCACGATTGTCCGTTAGCCGTTGCAAAGCATGTTGAATACGTGGGCAACCAATCCTCATGTAACCTACACAGTAGTTTTACATTTGTGCGTAAGTCAAATAATCATTAACACACCCAACAACATCTTGACTCGAGTATAGTTTCTCAAGTGTTCGGTTTGAAGCCGTTTTTGCCTGCACGCGTTTGTAGTGGATAGAGCCAAACTTGCTTCAGACGGCAAAAGTAGGTCACACCGCGAAAACATGCACAAAAACTACTAGAGTGCATCCTTTCCCCCCTTGGGCTCCCTTTCTGTGAAACACATCACAACTGCAATAGATTTGCTTGGCAACCACGGTATCTCGTCCGCATGTTACTTGAAGAACTTGAAATGCACCGTCTCGCGAAAAAAGTTTGCCTGCGGCCTGTGGTTTCTGGACACACCTGTCGGTGTTGCGTGGTGCGGCAAAATTGGATGCATAGGCCATGCCTGGGTCAGGCTGCATGTGCTGTCTCAGATAACCTCTTTGGAACAAAAGGTATGTGTCCGAACGGGGGGACGCCAGAAACGGTGGTTTTCCCTTGGCTTCCCTTCAAACTAAGGGTCATGTTGTGTACCTTTCATACGCCCATAAAGCATTGCTGGTTGCCGCCTTTGTAGGACTTGGAGCCGCGGCATTACTTGACCCGCTCCAAACATTGAATTGGCAAAGTGCTGGACTCACCAATCTCATCTCTCAGCTTGTGTTGCTGAGTGCCACGGGTTTCGAAATGGAACAAGGGCAGATTGTGAACATCCCTCTTTGGATCCATTTGCAGTGTCGGGACAAATAAGGCTTTGCCTTAGATAGAAACCAGTGTAAACAACATCACGGTAACATCTAAACAACCATTGGCTTTCGTTCAGGTACGGTTAACAAATCCCAAACATCTGAAGAGAACACCGTCCGGAAACCCGGAAACTTGTTTTCTTGGCAACCCAGATGTGCATGTCCCACGCCTCAGCAACGCCCTAATGGCGAAATGATCGCAGCTCGGCTTCTTTACAATTCCGCGGGCTGTGTGATCTGCCACGGACCGCCTTTTTCCCCACCCAAATGAAGCAATCCCACACAAAATACGTATATATATATATATATATTATACACATAGACACACTGTCAGGCATCCATCACATACGTAGCTGGTCTGCACTGGTAGCGGCCCGAGGCACGCCACGAACAAACTCGTGGCAGGTTTGTAGTTTCGCGCGGATTGCGGCTTGATTGTCCGCCATAACATCTCCATAAAGGCACCCCAGTTTCTAGACATACCGTGGCGCGATACGCAGCCTTCGACTGCGATTTGGGGCCGACTGTCATTCGTGACACGAACTGAGCGGCCGCTTGAATTCTCGGTGCAGAAGGTTCCAGTCCGCACCTCAAGTTGATGCGGTTACCAGATCCTCTCCACACCGAGTTGCACGCGAGCATGGAACTTACCTTCCAAGCTCGCTCCACTTCACACCGCAGGCATTCTTCAGCCGAAAGGGGGAGCTCTTGAAAATACCCCCCGCACTAGTGAGGGGGACACTCCCCGACTTGCAATTAACGTTGGCTTAAGCGGTGTCTGGGGGATCCCCGAAAATCAGCCACCTGACAAACACGAATTGACAAACTACGTGTTTGAACTCAGGAAGTCAATCAAACTACTTAGTGCGGGGGGGTATTCTTGAAAGCATCACTCCGTTCTGAGTTGCACCCCTTTGCTGTCTCAGGACAAATAAGGCAACAGTTGGCTCTCGTTCACGTCCGAAACATGTTGAGAATATGACCGTCCGGATTTCCGGAAACGGCGACCCAGGTGTGTATGTCCCAAGCCTCAGCACGGCCCAAAGGGCTAAATGATCGCCGCAATGAATGTCTGCTGGTTCTCACAGACAAATTTGTGCTCCTGCAGAAACCCGATCAATGGAACCACCTGTAAGAGGTATACATTTGTCTGACCAAATCCCATGCCTGAGCTCATGGGGGACTCCAGCCTGACAAGATTTGACCGGATGACAGGACGATCTGTGAGCGCAAGTAATTGGCTTGGAAGATTCGGCGCAGATGGGGCGCTGCATGGAAAAGCGAAAAACGCGCTCATCGCGGCTGCCCTTTTTGTTTGTTGCAAACAAGCAAGCTTCTTGTAATTTGCTGCGCTCGCAAACACGACAGTGACTAGGAAGGGGAGTAGTCTGGCAAAACAACCCTGAGTTGCACATCCACAAAATGCTATGGTGAAACACACATACATATGCATCTAATATATATATATATCCATCACAAGCTAACACACCGACATACGTAGCTGGTCTGCAGGGGTAGCGCCCCGAGGCACGCCACGAACAAATTCGTGGCAGGTTTCTGGTGTCGCGCGGATTGCGGCGTGATTTTCCGCCATAACATCTCCATAAAGGCACCCCGGCTTCTAGACATACCGTGGCGCGATACGCAGCCTTCGACTGCGATTTGGAGCCGACCGTCATTCGTGAACCGAACTGAGCTGCGGCCGCTTGAATTCTCGGTGCAGAAGGTTCCAGTCCGCGCCTCAAATTGACGCGGCTGCCAGACCCTCTCTGCACCGAGTTGCACGCGAGCATGGAACCCCTTGTCTTCAGCTCACAGCTCGCCTCCAAAGATCTCAGCTTCGGTGGAGGGCAGAGTGCTGAACCACAGGCTACCTTCCAAGCTCCCTACAGTTCGTACCGCAGGCATTCTTGAGCCGAAAGGGGGAGCTCTTCAAAATACCCCCTGCACTCGTGAAAGGGGACACTCCCCGACTTGCATTAATGTTGGCCCGGAAAATCAGGCACCCGACAAACACGAATTGACAAACCAAACTACATGTTTGAACTCAGGGGATCAATCAATTACTTAGTGCGGAGGGTATTCTTGAAAGCATCACTCCTTTGCCGGCTACGCCAAGGCCTGCCTGCCTGCTCTGCTTGAGCAGTCGTAGTGACGTAGGCTGCGAGTGGCACAGCCGATGCATGAATTATAGGCTCAGAGCAATGCCAACGTGGCAGTGCATAACTGTACAATCGGCGGAGACGTCCAGCATCCCGGCACACATGAAAGCATTTGCTCTCCAAAAAAGGGCGGAGTTTTGGAAGCAGATGAGCAGTACTGATCCAGCGTCTCATTTGCCTTCACTCAAGCTTCAGCCTGCGCAAAGCCTGTAAATAATGGGCACTTAGCGAGCCCCAATTCACTAAGAGGATTTCTGTGTACCACAGCCGTGCTCATGGGCCACTCCTAAAAATGCTACACCTAACCTGACTCACCAGGTGTTTGTATCGCCTCTCACGCATACAACCGCAATGTCTAAGTGTGGAAGGTAAAGATGGTGCTTCTTGGCACTAGTTGTGAGCAGAGTACTTTCCGGCCCTGTACCAACCACACTTCTCAATTCTACCTCGGTTGCTTTCTGCTCCCCTGCTAAAAGCTTAACTTGTAGTGGTTTAATGAAAAACCCATTAGTTGGCAAAAAGGTAAAGTCCTAACATGACAGCAAGATGCACCAAAGCTACTACTGGTGAAGCCTCTTATGTACATTCTCGTGGATGGGAACAACCTCGTGAGGTTCTTGTCCATCCCTTTGAGGCCGAGGTGGCGTCACATCTGCGAACATGCTACTGAATGGATGTGCAATTGTGTATCTCTGGAAGCTGTCTGTTCGTGCCGCCTGTGTGATTGACACATTCACAGAAGCCGTGCTCAGCTGGCTTCAGGACCAAACTAAACATACAAGGAGTTTCCACCTCTTGTGAGAGATTAAAGGGTAATTCATGATGAGGACATTGTTTCTAAATTGTTTACGGCACACCTCCTTGTGAAAATCCACAGGGGTGCTGCCTCTCAAGCAGGCCCAAAAAAAGTCCTTCAGTCAAATCATGTCTTGCTTTACTTTTTCA